CTCGAATTTTCTAATAGCAACAGAAAGGCCACTCAACTTCAAAATGTTGCAATTTCCTGCACGCTTGGCATTTGCTATGAAATTAATAAATCCGAAGGACAAGCCCTTCGAAATGCGGGCTAAATTTGGCATGTTCCTGCTTTTCTCATGATCAGCTGGTCCTGTCATGTTAATGCAATAATTTTGTTGTTCCTATGTAAATATAAAATCTAAAGGGGTAGCGAAGCGCACCGGCTTAAACTAGTTGTCTATATAGGTCTACATTTTAGTATAGCACCCATATAACACTACCCCGAGATATTCGCTATGTCCAGGTGAATAATGTTCACCGGAATTTCGTATTTAAAGTTCGTAATGGGTAGTACAACCTATTACACAAAATTGTCTATGCAGGTCCACGTCTTTCGTATTGAATTTCGGAATCGGTACTACCGCCTGTGACAGAAAATTACTTATCCAGCACCACGTCTTCGTATAGCCCTTATATAAAGATTTTTATTTCAGTCGAATTTTTCGAAGAAATTTTTTTTTTTTTGAAAATTTTCAAGTTCCTTCGGATGGTGGAGGGTATAAAAAGTTCGACACGGCCGAACTTAGCTGCTTTTTTTCTTGTTTTTTTTTTTTTTAATAAAGTTATTTCGATTGCACGCAACCAAAAACCTAAAGTTGTTACGACTGGAAAATGCATTATGGGAAAATAGTTCATGTGGTGGCCATTGCTTAGTGAAAAGAAATACATATTTATATTTCTTAATCAGGGACGCCAAGGCACCCGTCTTCACATTTCTCCTTCAATCTCTGATTTTAAATTGAAACAATATTTAAATTCTTTTTTATTACGAAAATTTTATTTTCTCTGTATTTTTTTCAAGGCTTTGGGAGTTCTTTTTGTACGAGCATATTTTTGGAAAGGTTGTTTTTAAATTTCTATTTCGAATAAACAATTTTTTGTTGTTGTTGACCAATAAAAAATGTTGGGCGATTTTAACTTATTTTCCAGGATAAACATATTTTTGATTATTAATTCTATAACAGTGTTTTTTTTTTAATATTTGTTTGGATCCAAAACTTAACATGAAAATGTTCAATAAGATTTTTGATTGCATTTTTTAATAATTTTTATTAAAACTAATCTTATATTATATTATACCATATTGTATCTATGTATATAACAATTGTCCTTGCTCAATCTACCCTTTTAACTGTTTTTTCTTTTAATTGTTTTGTTTAACCTGATTTATTTCATTTCTGTTTATAGTTTATTTTATATATTCTAAATTCTCTTGTGTATTATATACATATAAAATATATGAATTTATGTTGAAAATGTTGAAAAATACGTTATTTGAATTAACATTTCAAAATCATAAAAACATATTAGCTGTATAACCACAAGCCAAAAATATATTTTTATCTTGACAGTTTAAATTAAAATATTTAAAAAAATACCAAATATGATATGAGTAAAAAACACAGGATTTCATAGAATTCTCAATCATAAATCAAAATTCCAACTATGGAATAAAATGTATCAAAGTCGTTTACAAATTCAGTGTCAAATTCTTGCATTTGATATCGAAAAGAGTTCGATGGAAATGAATTTCTGTATGTCCATTTAGAGTGATAACAAGTAAAAAAGTTCGACAGGGCCGAACTTTTAATACCCTCCACCATTTTGATGAAATTGAAAATTTTCAAAAAAAAAGAAAAAAAAAGAAAGAAAACTACCACGAAGACTTGGACATACATACAAAATTTTTTATCATAGGCTGTTGTACCCATTAGGATCTATCAGTACGAAATTTGAAACGATTCCGGTGAATAATGTTGCTGAAATCATGAAAATACCGAATATCGGGAGGTACCGTTATATGGGGGATATACGAAGACTTAGACCTGCATACAAAACTGTTTGCCATAGGCTGTAGTACCCATTAGTATCTTCCAGTACGAAATTTGAAACGATGCCTGTGAACAATGTTGCTGAAATCATCAAAATATCGAATATCAGGAGGTACCGTTATATGGGGGCATTACAAAAACGTGACCGACATGGCCCATTTACGAACTTAACCCGACTGCTGGTAAACTATGCATGTATGCAAAATTTTAGCCTTCTATCTCAATTCGTTCGAAAGAAAGATAGCGTGATTACAACAGACAGACAGACGGACATCGCTAGTTTGTTTTAGAATTTTACGCTGATCCCGAATATATATACTTTGTAGGGTATATTATGAATAATTCGAGGAGTTACAAACGGAATGATAAAGTTAATATACCGTCCATAGAATGATGGAGGGTATAAAAGGTGTAACGAGTTTAAGATATTTTGATCATGATTTTAAAAGAAATCTTGGACTTTCAACCTGTTTTCGCTTTTTAATTATTTAGTCATGAAAAAACCAGTCAAAAAATTTATTATCACCTCAACGGAATGGACCTACATGTGCTCCACACCACACGACAGGGTCATGCCAGCTTGTTGGACTTTCTAAGAGCAGATTTAAACCTTAACAGCAATTACATACATATAAGCAATCATGAGGTTAGACAGAATTGAGACACTTATTCCAAACAGGGCGAATTGAATGGCGCCTGTCTACTTCTAATCGGTCTACCGATATATACAAATGGACCAAAGATGAAAGAAGGCACGGAAGCCGGAGTATTCTGTGAGCAACTAGGAATGATCTACTCCCATAAGTTGGATGGAAAGTGTAGTATTTGTCAAGTAGAGATCTTTGCGATCATGAAAGCGACAGAATTGATTATGTTTAATGAAATAACTAAACCGGTGACTGTTTATGTAGATAGTCAAACAGCTCTAAATGATATTAAATCTCCAAAATCAATTCTGATACAGTCCTTTATACTACTATCCGGCTTTGCTGGGTACCTGATCATTGTAATATTGAAGGAAATGAGAAAGCCGACGAATTGGCAAGAATATGCTCGCAGTCAACAGAATCCCCTCTTTTTCAATTCAACAGACAATAACAATTACTCTTTAGGGAGATAGCCAAAAGGTGCCGGTATAACGAACCACGGTGCTAGGTATCAAAACAAATTTGGTCAGGTATCGAAAGGCCAAACATATCAACAAATATGGAATATATGGTCAAGACTAGTCATATGTATCAGCATGTATCAAAAGGTGGACCTTTATTGATCATTTAATCAATAAGAACTCAAAATGCCATAATTTGGTGAAATTAAATAAAAACATGTCCGAAACGTAAATAACCTTGAAATCGGAGTTACTCTTAGATGGAAATATTTCATAAAGTCGACCGATACGACACGTTTTCTGTACCAATGATTGTGGATGTATTCCAAAGATCTTTATCAAATTTTAAAGCTCTATCTTAAATATTGCTAAATATATCTCAAACTATAGTGGTCCCTTTGTCTACAGTCAAAAGAATATGAAGGCCTTAACAACTTTTGGCCTAAGAACCCAAAACTTCGTTGGGCTTTTGATCTACAAACGAGTTCTGTTAAATCCACTTGGAATTGTCCACAACCTTAATTGGCTGTTTACTTATGTGTAGTTATAAAAGAATATTCAGCAAATTTGGAAAAAAAGTGTCAAAATTTTCAGAAATAAACGAGGACTGACAAAACTTGACATTTTTTCGTGGTACATATTGAGTCTACAAATTTCTTTTGTTCCGAGACTAACAATGAAATTTGATCTAGAATAATTCTTCCTTTGACACTTTCCCCTTAAAATTAACTATAAAGGAAAATTTTTACTCGGATTGGAAACTTGTTAAATAAACATAATTTTCACTTGCAGGACGTATATTTTGAATGTAATTTTCTCAAAAACCTTTGTTCTGGTATATAGTTAATTCAGAGATTTGTAGTGACATTTTTTGTAGAATATTTTTTCTTTTGACACCTTTTGCCTAACTCGAAAACAAGCCGAGAATAATTTGATCAAAAATAAAATTGACTCTCTTGAAGGTTACAATTTTCTACCCAAATTTTCCTCTGCAATATTCCCGACGACACTATATACCGAAAATGCACGGAAGATTTCGAGGAATCTTAATCCGAAAATTTCCATAAATGTGTGGAAGATGAGCGAATTTACTTTTTACTTTCATAATCTGCAGGATTTTCACTGTAATTATTAAAAAAATGTCGCACAGTGCTATTGAATAAAAGTCCTCTTATATATCTTTGTCTGGTGATCAATTGCCTTTAATAATTGTTGTTGTTGCAGTAGCACGTACTTCTGCATTCTTACTGATTAATATGTTTCTAACTTAAAATCCAAAATGGAGAATATTTTAACTTTTTTTTGTAAGCAATAATTAACATTTTTTAGTTTCATATTTGCTTTGTTCCAGAACTGCAAGAATGTAATTTATTTACTACGATAGCCATTTTTTCCTTATGATATCGATACAAATTGCAAAACTAGAAGATTCTTGCAGTTTCTGGAACATAGCATTTTTGGCAATTTTGTAAAACAATAGATCCCTTGATCCTGATATTTTCTTATTGGACTTTGTCTCAGCGGGCTGAAAATTGATACTGGGTTTGGTTTTCCTTCATGGACTGTGTTACTTTCCTGCTCAAAGAAAAAACTACGAGCATTGGGTGAACTTTCGACTCATGATCTTAGTGTGCATTCAGACACGGAACCCTTCGTCATCCATAATTTGGCAAAAAGGCTACATTGGCTCTGATTCTTTATTAGTAGTACTTTAATCGAACATTAAGAGATCGGCCCTTTAAAATTTTTCATTTTTAACGATTACTTTTCCATAACTTCGCACCTGACGTGTGCACAATATAAAAATTTCTATCGTTTATTTTTTAAATATAAAGCAAATTTGTTTGATTTAAAAATAAAAATGTGTATTTTATTCTTTCATAATTTCATAAATTACTGTTCTTCTTGTTAAACTAATAAATCTGTGTGTTCATTTTGGATTGATTTCATTTCTCTTTTTTTTTAATAAACAATTAAAACTCTTAAAATATAAACATATTAATATGTGGGGTGAATTTATTTTTTTTTTTTTGCTTTTTTTCAAAATATGTAAATGTGTGGTTGTGTGTGTATTAACAAAAAGAGTAATATGTTTATAAAATCCTAAAATATATTGAAATAATAATTGATATATGTAATATTTTTATAAATAAAATATATGAAAACTTAAGCAAGAAAAAGAGAGTTAATTAAAGAAATATTAAACAAATAACGTCTTGTGTAACATATACATATATGAATATTGTTTAATTCTAGTTGATATACTATAAATAAGTATATCATGTATACATGTTATAGTTTTCTATAGATAAAGAAATTAGTTATCTCTTATTTTAATAATTATAATATATGAAATCATTGTATGATTTGTTCAGTGTTTTTTTTTTTCAATTTGTTGTTGATGTTTCCTTTTTTTAATTTTGTTTTTAAATAAAGTAAATACATAAGTTTATGTTATATATCTTTTAATACTTAACCACTAATGACTATACTATGGAGGCCTTTTCTGTAACCTGCTAACATTTGTTTTCAAAATATATGTTTAACTATAAATATATATTGGTATTTGTATAAATTTTTATTTTGTTTTCCATAACATTTTGCCACCAAACAAGGCTTCTTCTTAGTCATGTTTGTTCTAGCCAAATCTAATTTGTATGTAATTTGTAGGTATTTTTTATTAAACAAATCGAAAACTTTCGAAAAAATGTCTTATTACTTTTTTATTTTTGTTTTTGTTGCTGTAATGTTAGGCACTGTTATTCCTTAAATTTATGTTTTCTTAAAACCTTGTTGTTTTGCTTTTGCATGTAAATCTAAATATTTAAGTATTGCTTATGTTCTACAGGTTTTGTTAAGATGAGGTTCTGTAATTAACAATTTTTTCTTTAATTTTGCTCTTTTAAATAATTAATTCACTTCCAGTGGAGTGGTAAATTTTGATGTTGTGAACCTTATAAAATAATCTTGTTTGAAAATGATATATAATATAAGTTTGTATGTATATTTGAAAATAAACGAATATGTAATTAGATTTGTTTTGCTTGCATCTCATATTTTATTCCATTCACATTTATGTTAGTTGTTGTTGTTCTTTTGCAAAGTTTTCAACTCATCCAAAAACAAAAGTCTTTCCTTTTACCTAAAATAAAAAATATGAATAGTTGAATTAAATAATTTAAAAATAACAAATAAAAAAGCTGTAAGTTCGGCCCAGCCGAATATGAATACCTTCCACCATTTGGAACGAATTTTCAAAAAAATAAAATCAGTTAAACATTCTGTTAAAATCTTAAAAATACTAAATGTAGCCGTCATATTAGGGTCTAAACGACGACTAGGCAACTTTTGTTATAAGCCATTACAATATTCAAATGCGAATCGTGAAAATAAATCGATGAATAATGTAGTTAAATCATCAATATAGGGAGGTACTAGGGCTATATGGGGAGGGCTATACTAAAATGTGCACCTGTACAGACAATTTTTTGCCTTAGACTGCAGTATCCATTACGCACTTCAAATACCAAATTTGAAACAATTCCGATGAATAATGTCACTAAAGTAATCAAAATACCAAATATAGGGAACCATTATATGGGGGCTATAAAAATAGACAATTTTCTGTCATAGGCTGTAGTATTCATTACGAACTTCAGATACCAAATTTGAAAGAATTCTGGTGAATAATGTCCTTAATAACATCAAAATACCAAATATCGGGAGGTACCTTTATATGGGGAACGTGGACCTGCACAGACAATTTTTTGTCATAGGCTGAAGTACTCATTACGAACTTCAAATACCAAATTTGAAACAATTCCGGTTAATAATGTCGCTAAAATCATCAAAATACCGAATATTTGGCGGTACCATTATATGGGGTCTATAAGAAGATGTGGACCTGTATAGACAAATTTCTGTCATAGGCTGTAGTATTCATTATGAACTTAAAATACCAAATTTAAAACAATTCTGCTAAATAATGTCGCTAATATCATCAAAATAGCGAATGACGGGAGGTACCGTTATATGGGGGCTATACGAAGACGTGGACCTGTACAGACAAATTTCTGTCATAGACTGCATTATACATTACGAACTTGAAATACCAAATTTGAAACATTTCCGGTGAATAATGTCGCTTAAATCACCAAAATACCGACAATAGGGAGGTACCATTATATGGGGGCTACACAGAAACTTGAACCTACATGGCGCATTTTCAATACCAAAAGTCCTGTAGACGTAATATATATTTGAGTAAAATTTTATCAATCTACTTCATTTCGTTCGGAAGCTAGAGTGATTTCCACAGACGGACGGACATCGTTAAATCGACATAGAACTTTATGCTGATCAAGAATATATATACACATTGTGGGGTCTAAAATGTAAATTTCGAGGTGTTACAAACGGAATGACAATCTTAATATACCCTCCATACTATGGTGGAGGGTATAAAAATGAATAGAAAACAATATTTGTTTGTAGGATCTTGAATTGAACTCTAAACTTTTATAGTGAAAATATCCTCAAATATATGGACTACCTGCGGATAGTACAGGATTCAAGGTTTACGGTTCGGTTATCAAATGCTTGGATGTCTGAACAGCTATTTGGTTAGCTGCAAATTTCTTTTCATGACAATTAGGTCAACTAAATGAGGCATAAATAATGGACTTGAAGGACTTGCAAAGATCTCAACGTGCTTCACCGTTCTCACGACGGTAAGAAAATCTGCATGGAAAATCTAAAATATTTTCGATAATTTTCCCATTCGAGTTGAGTTTTTGATAACATGACACTGAAATTTGGAATCTAGCGAAGTCCCCTTTGGTTAAGTGGCTCAACAGGCATATTAGATGCTATTGGGAAGTTTTATAAGCGTGTTGTAGATTAAAACGCTAAGACGCCGGTAACACTTTCCGTTGGTTGACGAGGACGTCTGTTCTGCGCTCCCAGCTAGGCTCATGCTCAAAATGTTTTATTTTGAAATTACGCTTCAAACCTGCAAAGCAAAAACAATTTTGGGTCGTCGTGAAGGAACTAGTCGGACCGCAATACAGAAATTAGTAGAAAATCTAGCATTTGAGGACAAGTTACTGATGTGAGAAATAAAATCAAGAACTAGATTGTATTTCACTCATTCGAAAATGTGGTTGGATCAGCTGTTGTGGATTTAAATCTGAAATAATTAAAACTTTGCAATAGTTCTACCAAAAGAAGATGAGATGTTAGGTACCATAGACAGAGGGCATACAGATGCTAGTATAACCAACTAATATGTTCTTAACAAACATTTGGTTTGATGTTTTTGAGTTAAGGGTATTGAGCGGTATGAATTCGGGTTTGTAAAGGTTGAGTTTCAGGATTTTTTGTATGGATAACCCCAAATGGGATTTTTTGCGGAAAAGCGAACAAAGATTTAGAACAATCCCCTGAATATGTGGAATTTAGTAGATATTCTGATAACCAAGACTCCATAACCGACCGACGTGAAAGCTAAAAGTGTAAACTTTCTCAGGCATTTTAACTTTGATGGTAATTTCAACCCTAAACCCTTTCATGTGTACATTAATTTGAACTCATTCATCTCCTTCAAAATACCGATTCTCAAACCTTTTAGACCGACAAATTCCTGATTTTTTCAATAAACAACTGCCATTGACTTACTTCGTTTTACGACAATGTTTCGTGCAAGTCCTTCGGTTTCCTTTTAGGTGTTTCTTCTGAAGCCTTTTACGATGCTTTACCGCCCGATAACAATTCAATAATCATCACTCCTTTAATGAGTTTCCAGCAACATTGGCACCCGCTGTGGCCGTTGCCTGATTCATTAGCTTATGTTGTGGTATAACTGTCAGAGATTTTGGAATTTTTGAGAGCAGCAATTGTTGTTGCTGTTGTTGATGCTGTTTCATGATGTGATTCGGGGCAGCTAATGAGGCGGGATTACTGGGATGATTTGGTTTCGCTAGAAGTTGCGGTAGTTTTGGCATCATATTGGAGGGACCACCGTTACCGCCGCCCGCATTTCCAACACCACCGCTTCCACCACAAGCTCCATTAAGTAGCAGCTGATTGGAGTCGGGGAAATTATTCCACAGCCAGGAGGTATTGTTCATGGAATTGGAGGCAGGATTAATGTTGCCGCTGTTGGTTGCATTTGTTATGGCATTGGCCAACAGAGGCATTATGGGGGCAGAGAAATTGGCATTGCTATTAATGGAGGCTTGCAGTGGTGGTATGGTGGAGATATTGCTTGTGGGGGGTTGTTTCTGAGTCATCGCTTGAAATCGTGCTACCGCTTGCGAATTGTTTGTTTGGTTGTTGTTGGCAGCGGCGGCTTTCATTAACGCTTGCTGTTGCAGCATTTGCAGTTGTAATAACTGCTGCTGGGTAACTTGTTGTTGATGTTGTTGTTGCTGTTGATGATGCTGCTGCTGTTGTTGTTGTTGCCTTTGTTGATTCATTGCTGCAGCAGCTGCATTCGTGGAATTGAAATTCTTGTTCATGTTTTGCAGATTTTTATTTTGTAAATGTTGTTGCAATTGTTGTTGCTGTTGTTGATGCATTTGTTGCTGCTGCTGCTGCTGCTGTTGTTGTTGCTGCTGCTGATGTTGCTGTTGTTGATGCTGCTGCTGTTGCTGTTGTTTGGCTTCTTGTCTCTTTTTAGTGGCCTTCAGCATCTGATCCCGTAACAACTTTTCTCGTCTTAAAATACACATACGATTATAGTCGAATATGGAGATAAGGAAGGGTTTACCACCCGACTGCACTTGAACCAGGGCTGGCAATTTCCTGCCATCTGCCGTCTGATAGAGCGGCCCATTCTTAAGCATACTCAGGTTCTCTTCCACCGGCATCAAGGTTGGGCGCCACGTTTTACTTTGCAACCGCTCCTGTGGTGTCAATGTGTCTGGCAAAACAACTACATTCGGAGGTGGCCTTGATGTTCCGGGCTTATTCAATTGAGGCCGTTTGTTGGTATTGCTATTATTACTTGAGCTAGCATTAGGGTTCACACCCGAAGGGGCAGGAGGCGCAGGCGCAGCAGCCGGTGCCGAAGTCATTATTGGACCAGCAGATCTCCTTTGAAGACTAACCAATTCCGGTGGAGAACTGAGCAAAGAAATAGCATTTTTATTTGCAGCAGAGGAGTTATTATCCATCTGATTGCCCAGTAATTTGTTAGCCACATCTAATATCTTCTGTTGTTTTGATTCCATTGGCGGAGGAGGAGGTGGTGGGGCGGGGTGTGATGTGGAATTGCTACCAGTTTTGTTTGGCTGGGATGCAGCAGCAGACGATGTAGCTGAGTTGTTGATGGGTAAAATCTCAACTGCCTTATTAATTCCCAGGAGGTTACATTTCAAAATACTTCGGCTGTTGCTTGGGGCACCAGAGCTTGCCGTAGAGGCAGCCAGAGCAACAGCTGCTGCTGCGTTGGCTGCAGCTAGATTTGCAGCGTTCGAACTGCCGTTGTTATTTGTATTTCCTGCTAGAGTGTCTTTAAGCAATGATTTCTGAGGCGATGGAGTGGGAGTGCGCTTATTGCTTGACCCATCCTTGGGACGTGCCGTAATTGTTACAGCATTGGTACTCAATTGCTTAGTGAGTTTGTCTACCGAAAGACTTCTTGAGCGCGAAAGTTGTTTATCTGGACTGTTGTTATTGCTGCACTGTAGCGATTTCGGAAGTTTGGACACCTCTGTGATTTCAACGTCGTCGTCGTCATCATCGTCTTCGTTGATTTCGAAGGTGGGAATTTGTGGTTCCGGTTCTTTAGGTTTGTTGCTGGTCTCCTTGGCAGTACTTGTGGATGAATTATCTGATGGAACCTCTTGGTGAAGTCCTCCACAATGACCCTTATCATAAGACGTCAGCCTTTGTCGAACGGTTTGCGTATAAACGCTAGCATTGCTTGATGCACTAGCGGATAAAATCAAATCACCATTCCTGAAGTATTTTTCCAACAAAATTAGATGGCGAAGAAAAGAGCTTTGATTGCCATAAGGCTTTTGTAACTCTTCCCAAAGCCGTCGTGTAGGCTCGTCATATTGTAAAAATGTTTGTACTCTTGTCCAGCCCTCGGGAGTTCTTTGGCTGGCGCTACTGCCAAATGGAACTTTGAACTGTAAACCCAAATCTTCCTCACCAGGGAATAATTCTCGCATTGAAATGTTGGGATTTGCTCTCAAAACATTTGAGATGTCGGAGGAGGAAGAGGATGAACTGTTGTTTGTGCTGGCCGCTTTCTCCACAGGTAAACTATTACTCTGCAGGATGGCTTTCAATTTAGACATTTCGCTTGGCGAATTGTCTGCTGCGTTTGATGTCGATGAGTTTGAAGAATCCATTAATGCATTCTCGAATTCACGATCCATTGCCTCGCTAGTACTCTCTCGCACACTGGCATTGCCTTTTGCCGATTCATCCTCTCCGGAATGTGAAGAATTTAGCGGCGACAGGAGATCCTTTTGATTCGAAGAACCATCATCTTCAGGCAGCGGAGATTTTTGGGCTGTTTCATCATGGTGTTGCTTTTGTTGTTGTTGATGTGATTCAGTGTTCTCATTGTTGGATGTGGGACCATTGCTATTGTCGTCCTCATCAGCTTCAGATGCATCGTTACTGCCATCATGTATGTTATGGAATTGCAACAGACTGAAAAGAAAAGAAAAACAAATGAGTGGGTTGTGATAGGAGCTGCGAAGTAAGAGCAGTGCAATACCAACCGCTTTCGGTAATTTTTAATAAATTCGGCCTTCTGGGATTTTGTTGTCTCCGGAGGTTTCATTAGGAGATTGGCAAAATAACGACATAATTTACAAACAGCTGTGCCGATGCCCAGTTGCACGGGAATGCCCATTTCCGTTAAAGCCTTCTCGAGACGGTCCGTGTCCGAGGTGATGTGATACATGTGGTTTTTACCCAAACGACGCTTACACAAGACACAACCCGAACATTGGATCACAGTATCGTAGTGTGTTTGACACAACCAAATGCATGGTGAGTTTGTTGGAACCTCAAACTTCAACAAGAACTTCTTAACACTCTTGCGTATGCATTTACGGCGCAAGGAGTGTGCGGCTGGATTTGAGCATCCTGTTACCAAACAGCTGTGTGAAGATGCTGAGGCATAATGTTCGGCAACAGCAGCTTCAGATTCATTTTGGTCATAGTCCTGTTGGTTATCAGAAGATTTCACGCCATTCGAAGTTGTTTCCAAGCCACCGGGTGCTGATAGACGTTTCTTATACGACGGTACGTTTGCACGACGATCCACATGACGGAAGCAGGCATCACAAAGGCAATTATCGACAGTAAGTTTTTCTTCATCTGAAAAAAAAAAAAACAAATAGGAGAATTTCATGGAAGAAATGCAAATTAATTTTTTACCCATTAACTTACTTGCCAATATTTTCTGTTGTCTTTCCATCGACTTTATCTGACCCACATGACAGGGAGTATCATAAAGCCCAAATTTACCACTACAATAAAAACATTGATCTTCGCACAATCGTCCGGGATGAAATTTAAAGGATGATGCCTTTTCGGGTATGAGTATTTTTTCCTTATCATCCTTCTTGGTGGAAATGCCTGATGTTGTGGACTGGTGATCGTGTGATTCTGAATGGGAAGAATCTATATTGAGAAATGTATACCATAGAGTTAAGAACACACACACACATAGATATTTACAAAAAAAGAAAAGAAAACAATGAAGGGTGGTCAGGCGAATTCGGGGATTATATTGCAAATTAGGTTGTTCTTTTGAACATAATCAAAATTGTAATGGTACGTAAAGAATTTGATGATGTATTGCCTTGAGTGCAAAAGTCTGTAATCAGATTTTCACTTCAACTTAATGATAATTTTTCATAACTGGTATATGTGTTTCATCAAAGTCTTTACATTGTTAGCTGTTAGTAGAGAAAATTCAATTCTAAAATAGAAACAAAGAAATAGACATATTCCGGAGATTCGACACCAAAAAAAAAATTACTTTTTTTTTTTTTGAAACATAAACTCAAACAAAAAAGTCAGCGTTATTACATTATTATGGACCCAGGGTTATGTTACAAACACCACACACAAACACTAAAATACACAACCATTTTTTGTGAATGGGCACTAAATTTGTTATATTGATGATGGTTGGAGTGACGGTAATTGTATGATTTTCTAGCGTACGTAGAATTAGTGTTGGAGAAGGAATTGCAACTAGTATTGTTAGTAGTAGTAGTAGTTTTACTGTTATTGTTAATTTGGTTTAAAGCTAATCTAGTATTGGAGGTAGTAGTACAGGTTGTGGTTTTTGAATGTAATTTGTGAAGCGCACCTTCAGTCTGCAAATAAAAGAAATAAGAAAACAAATCCCCATTAAAATGTGTCAACTTTCGCGATCAGCACAAATATTACCTCATTTTGTATGGTATAATAGTTATCCTCGCCGTGACCTTCACGGTCGTGCGGCGTACGATCGCTGTAGCCCGAGCCATGGCCACGTCCCCGACTCTTTTGGAATGTCATTTTTAGTGATTGACGTCTCTGTTGCTGTTCTTTGTTGGCGGCCGACGACGACGATGATGATGTTCCACCGGCGGCATTGGACTTGCGACCATTATTGCCACTAGTAGAACCACCTGTTGAATTACGATTAAGTTTGATGATTGTTTTCAATGTACCAGTATACTCGTGATGGGTGGATGCAGCATGAGATGAGTTTTTACCATTTCTTTTGTTACTGCCGTGTTGCTGGTTGGCAGCTCTGTTGGCTTCAACGGCCGCTGCAGAGCTTTGTATGACCTCGAGACGACGTTTTTCGGCAGCTTTATGAGTTACCAAGCCCAGATTTTGCAAATGCAATTCTTTTTTCCTCAACGACTCTTCATCGTCATTCTCGAAATCTAGGGTCATCCAAGAATTGGTTGATTGGCCCGATTTCATGGATGTGGCATCATCATCTTTTGTTAAGGGGATAGATTTAACATCTGCTGTTTCAATATTGTTGACGTTGAAGGGGCCATCGTCTGGCAGAATTGATTCAATAGGAACCTAAAATTGCATTGAAAATATATTATAAGTCTTGCACTATCTATAATTAACTTACCTCAACTTCAACTTTTGGCTTCTCTTCGAATTTCTCAAGCGAAGTCTTTTCATCCTCATTTTCTATCTTTTCAGTCTTTTCTTCGGGAATCACGCTTTCCTCGATCTTGCTAAACTTCTCGACCTCATGGGTTTTCTTCATCTCTACAGCATCTACAGCTTCTTCGATCACTTTGGCATTTTCATTTATTTTGATGTGGTCGATTAGTAATGAAGTGCTCTCATCGTCAAGTTTTAATTCCAAATCAGCAATATCGGCATCATTTGCATTGATTTTACCATCTTCGGCAGTTATTTTAATATCATTTATGACGTCATCAACATCCATGGACACTGTGTCCAATGGTGAAATTGCTGGCTCTGGTTTTTCAATAGTATTTTCCTTTATGGTCACCGTTGTTTCTTCGGATCCGGCTGTAACTTCAACTGGCACAATTAATTTGTCTGCAATTTGAGCGGCATTCAACTTTTCCTTGTGGCGTTCATCAATTTTCTTAAGTTCGGCATCAATTTTAGCCAGTACATCCTTATTTTCATCCACAACAGCATCATCAGTTGAAATTTCAATATTTTCTTTGTCATCAATGACTAAATGATCGCTGGAAGATTGCGATTCTTCGGTAAGCACTAGCGGCGCACTCAACTCAGATTCAGCTTTGTTGTCTAAAGTGTCTGCCGCGGTTGGTGCTATTTCAATATCATCGATTTCGGCTGGGATATCTTCATCATTATCAACGTCTTCTTCAATTTCATTGGTAATATCATCATTCACGGAGGCATTATTGTCCATGGAAATAGTTTCACTTTCCTCCACCGTCAGCTCATCTTCTTCTTGTTCTTCATCAGCTAAGGTAGCAACGTTGCTGTTGGATTTGTTTAAATCACCTGTGACTTCGGTTTTATCAACGATTGTCAAGTCTGTGTGGTTATCCCCGCTATCTGATAGCTTAATGTCTTCAGTTTCATCTTCTACTCTTGCCTTTGGATCAATCAGCAAAACTTCATCTCCTTCCAACTCCTCCACGGGTGCTTCTTCTTCATCATCATCCTCAACAACAAGCGGTGTAAGTTTATCATCGGAGCTTTGACAATTTCCATCCTCTTGACAAATAGACTTCCGCTCATCTACACTTTCGTCAAAACGTAACGTGCCTTCCTTCATCGATTCATTGGAGTAGGAATCTTCAGGCACACGGTCATCATTAACCTTTGAAACGGCACTTACGTTGGCTGCGGTTGTGGCAGTGCTAGTAGCTGATGTTGTGGCACCCGCCTCCTGGTTTACCGCTTTTTGAACAATGTTACCCAACTTAGGATCTTCTTCAATGCCCAAATTGTTTTCCAAAAACTTAGGTTTTTTGTAAAACTGCTGTACACTTATTTCCGACACACCTTCGCTTACCAAGTCGGCAGGACTTAAGGATGCTGCTTTTTCGGAGCCAGAAGCCACCGATTGTGGAGAACTTATTGTCACAGGGGTCAGTACTATAGTTGTTTGTGCCTCCGCGCTTTCAGTGTGTACAGATTCGGTATCGACCGTAAGAGGAGTAGGCAAATCAACGGCCACAGCAACAGTGTCTTTAGATTTACTATTCACATCTTCAGTGTTATTGGATTTATCGTTGGGCTTGATCACCGACGCATCATCTTTGTTTTCTTCTTCGTTAACAGCTATGAATTCTTCTGATTCCAAGTTAGATTTTTCCGTTTTTATTTGAGACAATACTATATCATCTGTGTTCGTAGATGATGCCATGCTGTCTTTGGAATCTTCTTCTTCGTCAGCATTAACGGTGTTGCTGCCTTTTGATTGATTGGTTTTGAGAAGGCTTCTGTTTTGAGAGGTCACACGTCTTCTCTTGGGCTCAGAAACTGTGCCGCTTGTTCTTGTTGGCGAATTTTGTTTGGTTTGCCTAGTCGCTCTGGTCGAAGGCGAGGCGGCGTTAGAATTGGCTGGTGCAGAGGGGTTGGTGGTGGTCCCAGTATTGGACTTACGCGAAGCCCAACGACCCTTACCACGTGTATTGTTGGATGTGGCAGATGCTGTTACTGTACTATCTGTAGTTGTTGTGGGTGTGGTAGAGTCCGAGGTCGCCACATTAATTTCATCCTCATCCATGATTTCTTCTTTGATTTTTATGTTGTCGAGTATTGGAGTATCATCATTGCTCTCGTTACTGGCAGTGGTTGTTTGAGAAGCCTGCATGGGTTCATCACCGTCTATTTCGGGATCACGTACTTCAATTTTAATGTATTTTGGTCCGGGTTCATCACTCGATGCCTTGCGGGCATTGGTGGCAGTCATTTCAGCATCGACGGAGCGTTTACGTTTTGTAACTGTGGTAGCGGGCTCTATTATGGGTAGTGGCATTTTTACACGATTTGAAGTGCGACTTCTACTTCCAGCACGTGTTGCCGGAGGAGTCTCGGAACGTGTGGTGACTCCGCCGGTGGCCGTTGTTTGGCGTTGTCGTGTTATGCGGGACGAGGAAGTTGTTAAATTCTCCTGGCTGGCCGTTGACTTGCGAGTAGAGCGGTTACAGGTGGTGTTGTTGGTAGCGGAAGAAGACTCTTTTGTTGTTGTTGTTGTTGTCGGTTCCTTTTGGTCCTTTGTATCTTTTTGGTCTTTTGGGGTTTCTTTACATTCCCCTGAATCTTTCTTCTCTTGCTTTTCCTTAGACTTGTCCTCTTTGTCCTTGGTGTCCACCAAGTCCGATTTCTTTTCTTCTTTTGTCTCTTTTTCTTTTTCCTGTTGTTCCTTAGCTTCTTTATGATCTTTGATGGACTTCCTGCCTCTTATTATATTCTGTTTCTTTCCTGCATGCGAGGAACTACTTTCTTCACTTTCACTGTTTGTGGGATCCGAGGGATCTAATGGTTCCTTTTTTATTACCACAGACGAGCCCGGAGAATGCAATAAGAGGGGCGAATTTCTTGTTACCCGTTGTTGGAAAGTTTTTGTTTCAACAGAATTTTCGTTTCCACTCTTTTCTACTGAAGCTGCGGTGCCAGCTCCTCCTCCTGTCGTCGTTTCCTGTTTTGATGCAGTTGTTGTATTTGTTGTATTCTGTGTATTTGTGGTGTTAATTGTTTTAGTGTCCAGCGATTTTGTTCCCGTTCCTGATGATGCTGTCGTCGTTGTGGCATTTTCTGCCTTCGTCCCTTGAACTGTCGAAGTGGCTGTTGTCGATTTCCGTGTTGACATGGTCCAAAAATATATAAGCGGTGTCGCCCACAAACGGTGTATGAGATGTTCTCAATGTGTTCAGTTACCGAAAATCTCGGATCAATAATATACAGATTGGTCCCTTTGTTTTCCCATTACGTCAACTGGAAAAAAGATAAAAGGGTAAATATTAATCAAATTATCTAAACATTGTGCGTGCATCGATGTAAAAATGCACCCTCCCTCCAAAGATTTCCTTTACTTCGTATATTAGTATCCCTTGTATTTTCATTTCTTTGGTCAACAACAAATCTGAATCAGATAGCTGTATTTAAAGCTTGGTGATGACAGCTAATACTGTAACTATGCAGTAAGTTCTTTTGTTGGTTACTCCTCAGTAGGGTAGACTTTTAAGCTCAAATATAAAGTCATTGATAGCATACACAACTACACTCAACCCCATGCACAGCGGTGAAACGCAACACTTGGTTGTTGGATGTAGCACATTATGAAGATATATTGAAAGTTGGATGCTGCTGTATGCATTGTGAATAGATGGATGATGATGATGGTTGGATCAGAAAAACAAAAAAAAAAACGAAGCATGTGTTTCTTCTAGCTGTTGCTTGTTTGCTCTTTTAGCTTTTATGCTTTGCTTTTTATTTTTCTTGGTTTTATGTGCTAAAACAAACTCCTTGAAACCGGTTTTTGGTGTGAGAGTTTGTTGTCAATATTGTCACTCGACCATGGAGTTTGTGTTCTTTAGAGTTGGTAATGCAAAGAACAAGATGAAGTTGGAAAAGTGTGTGTGTGTGTGTGTGTGTGTGTTTGAGGCCAGCGCCAGCTTTTTGACATATTCAAACGTTGTATGCATAAAGTTAAGACTATTGGTAAGAATCTCTGTTCGTGCCACAAAATGTTTTTGTGGGTCAGTTTGGCTTTGTGTCGGAATTCTATTCTTGAAACTAAAGGACATTTTAGGTTTTTTAGGCGATAAAAATGTCTTTCTATTCGATATTTAAACTGAAAAGACTACTCTGTAGAAGTAATTATTTTCTTCTGAATCTTAGCACCCATTTCCACAATCTTCAGTTTTTTTCAATATTATTTTCAAATTTTTACTTTTCAAAACATAATTAAGACAAACTTTCAAACAGAATAAGATTTTCGCGTTTTCTAGCATAATCAATGAATAAGAAAGAATTAAAACAATATGATTTTTAGAGATTTTTATGCGAAATGAACATTAACGTTAGCTCTCTGGACAACAAACTTAAAGGGAAATTATTCAATAATCCTCAAAACATAAATGACCAACGGAGAGAGGTAAGTAGACATCCCTTCCAATATAAAGCAAATCTTTATACATATTTCGAACAAAATTATTGGAATTAATCTGTTGACCTGAGTTTCTGTCATTTGATTTCAAAATTCATAATTCATATAGAATGTACATGTACCCTTTCATAGAACTGCTTGCAAGGAGAAAATCGTCAAATGTAAATGTCAAAAGCTGATTATTTGTTAATTTTGAAGAACTAACCAATAATAAATGTTACAGAAAAATTAGTCGGTTCGAACTTTCGCAATGTCCATTAGAGATATCCATTGTTCTAGACTAAGTCAAAATGAAGAGAAACTACAAAATATGGAACATCATCTATATCGTTGTAGTGCCAAGACCTACAACAGATCATATCGACTGCTGGGTTCGAATTTGATGACAATTAATTTTGTGGAGTAATTTAACTTGCTAACCACATAAAAAAGGTCCAAAAGGACCACTTTTTGACTCACTTTAAGGTAAAAAATTTCGAACTGCATTGTTGCCGAAGACCCTATATACTCATAAGTATAATTCTTTATAGTTCCAAAAGTGTGGAAGGGTAGGGGACTAGTCCCTCTTTTTCGGTTAAAAAAGACACGTATCGCAAGTGTCTTTTTTAACTCCACTTTCATAATCCGTTGGATTTTTCACATAATTTAAATTAAAATTTTTAAATAAAGAAAATCATTCGTCCCTGGACACAAAATGAAAAATATCTACAAAATTGTTATATAATGAAGCATTAAAATTTTTGAAGACAAACATTTTATTTTCTAAAAACCCAAAATGCGAAGCCAAAAGTTCAAGAGATTATTGTTTAAACAATTTTGTGTTTTTAGTTTTGTGGCCAAGTGGAGAATGGCTGCTGGACTGAATGAAAGCAAGTACTGCATAATTTGCTTCCCCATAAGCCTATGTCTAACACCGAAAACAGTTGGACAGTGTCGAAGTAAGTTTCATCATTTCAGTTTCCTACTCGCCTTGACAGAGCCTGTAATAATCGGTGTTGTCGTTACCCCCTTAGAAGTGTGTGCGTGTCGCTTTCGTCATCACCTTCAGTTACCTAAGCGAAGGATAGATTGTTTTTGAAAAACAAAATGTATTGCATTTTATCTTCCTAGAAGTCTCGTTAGATGCAACTGCGTGTTGAAAAAAAGTATAAAAACAATTTTATTATTTACAAAGTAACGAATTGCTCAGAGACGATAGAAGTAACTCCAACATGTTTTTATGCAAATAAAAATTGACAACGCCCACTTTCTCGCCCATTTTTGCGATTTACTTAAAATCCTTATATTTGACAAAATAAAGAAGATTATGTTTGAAAGTCTAGTAACACATCAATTAAGAACGGCTGAGCCGATTTTACATCCGTTCATTTGTAATTACAATGGAAAGGCTATACGATAGAAAATTATGAGGAAAACCTCTAAAAAAGTCGCGAAACTGAAAAAATCGTTTTTTGATATGGAATTTTGTATAGAATTGTTCCAGAGAGGCCATTGAAATTGAAAATTCTTATTGAAAAATTCCGAAAAAATCGGGGAAATTTTGCATGTCATGCCATTATTCAATTTTGATTACAAAATACTTCTCAAAGCAACGAAACGCGTACTTTTAAATTGCAGCTATGCCTAATGGGAAATTCAGTTAAAAGTTATTGACGATATAGATTTCACAACACTGAAAACTTAAAATATCAAATTACAATTTATTCGGTAGAAATTGTAACAAAACATGCAGAAGGACTAATTCTTAATGGTAGTATTAAGTCAAAACGAGATTCATAGATTAACCTAAATAATGCGCTTTAATTGTGGTTTACAGGTTTTAATCCAGATCTAGAATAAATGAGGTTGACAAAACTAAATACCCTTACAACATGGTCTTCTAAAAGTTATGAATTCAAAATTACTTTTAATTTGGAAAATTTTGCTAAGATCTTTATATAATACTAATAATTGAAGTTTGAAAATGTATTAAATACGATGATATAACGAGTATAAAGAGGTACTGGTAAATAGGAAATAAAATCATAAATATGACTTTTATTGCAAAGGATTGATAACCTTGATAATCCTTTAAAATAACTCAAATCGGCAAGTTATATGGGTGAAACCAGTATTAAAAAAAAACAAGAATTAATTGTACTGAACTCATCAAATGTCAAATTAGAACACATTTGGTCGAAGAATATTAGGAGATAATATTGTATGAGAGCTATATCTAAATGAGGATAAATATATACCTTGTATAGCATTATTTAATCGACAAAGATTTCTAATATTTAACATACTTTATGGTGTCCCTAACATTTATAAACCTATGGCACCTTATTTTTGCTAGTTCAATCAAATCCATGTAGCAGAGCATTAGAAACACTTAAAATATACTGTTACGTGAATCTACATTGACATTTTTGCAGTGAGTGACTACTTTAATTTAGAAATTACTATTGAGGACGCAAAAAAAAAAAGAAATATATACAAGTGATTATGCAAAATTACCTTTATTCATCATAAATATTATGCCCCTTAAATAACTATATTCAAAGGAATACAACAATAAACCACAAAATAAGGAAAACATCAATAAGCTTAAACTATGAAAACTGGTAAATGTGTAGATTGACTGCCGTTGTAAGCCAACATTTTGATCAAAGTTTATGCTTTTTCAAAGAGCAAAGGTAAACGTTTACAACTTATATTAGGTTCCTAAAAAAATACTTTAAACACTAATACTATGGACCAGCAACGCGGTCCAGGTTAGCAATTTCATTTATATTTTCAAAAAAAAAAAAAAAAAAAAAAAATTCAAATGTTGATATTCAAAAAGTTTGATGTTGAAATGTTGTAAGCACGACGTATTTGGGTAACTTCCAGATAAATACATATGTTTGAATTGTGTGGTGAAAAACGTCGACTGAGTACGTCGAATTTTAGGTAAATTTTGCACATAAGCTATGTTCCAGAACCTACATATTAATAATTATATACATAATAATAATTGGATAAAACAACCTTCAACTATTTGAGATTCCCATGTTTGACAAAAATATACAAATTTCTTTGAGTGCAACAGTGTTGTCATGCATTGTCATGGCCAATTCATCGCCAGCAACACATTGGGAAACTCTGCAATACGTATACGCACCAAAGTACCAACTCGCTTTACTGTGTACATGCTGATGGAAAACAATCTTCCAAACATTTCACACATTATCTCTTTTTTGTACATAGGAAAAAAGAAAACAAACGAGAAAAGCACACACTGTCTCTCACATTGCGACAAACAGAAATGTCTAGGGTTGTGACCAAAACCATTCAACAATACATTGTTGATTTGGTAGGTCAGGTTTTTCAACAGATGCTGCTGTGTTTTGGCTCCTGTTTCTACCACCATTTTTCCTGAGTGTGTGAAAATGAAGTATAAAAATAAGGAAACTCAAAACAAGATAAAAAACATAATAAGAAACAAATAGGGGTAGGCCGTAGCAACAAACGAGGGGTTTCCCAGCTTCATTTGATGGTATGTGTGTTGTGAGTAAGGGCATTTTACCTTTTTCGATAGTTATTTTCATAATTGAGGAAAAAGTGATGTTTTTTTGTTCAGAGCAACAGATTATATGTTAGCTCCAAAATAAAAAACGAAGAAAACTTTAAGTAACGTTGGCCCGAATTTAAATTTAAAAAAAATATGAACAACTTATTTGGAATTGTGTTTTCCATTTGCATACACTTTCATAGTCATACTGAAACAGGCCCTTTATAAATGTGTGGGCTATTTGTTAAAAGTGGATTGTTAATTTTGAGAAGAATTGTTTTACGAGTTATATCAAAAAGAAAAAAAAAAAAAAAAATGCAGGTTAATAAAATATTAAAATAGTTTTAAAAACTTCTAGATCAGTTAGTTTAGTGACAGTCTCAAATTTCGAATGGAATCCGCACCAACTGTCCTTATTTTTTACAATATTTTAAAGGAAAGAATTTATTTTTGTGTTGAGTATCAACCTACCTTTACCAGAATAAATTTTACTATCCTTTTTTATTTTAATTTCTTCACCCACGATAATACTTTACTATCCTCTTCCCAACATCTGTGACAGAATATTTTAAGATTTTAAGTATTCATCATTGTATCAACTTATTGAGTTATTCATAATTTATGTCTGTGTAGATAATTCGTCATTTTCTCTTTGGACTCCATTCTTTAAAACTGTGATTGTGCGGAGGAAGGGGAAAATAAGTACAATCAAGCAGAAAGTAGTAGGTAGTCCTTAACGAAAAGTAGTTTTGAGCAAATATCCTGTAGTCACATAAGGCTTCTTCTATAAAGTTATACAGAAAATTCAGTGTATGACTTGATATATTTAAGGCCCATTGCCTCGATGACTTTAAGGTCTATTGCCCTTAAAGAAAAGCAGTTTTGAATAGTTTCCTATAGGCCTTATAATTACAAAAAAATCTCCATCTAATGCTCTATAACTATAAGCTCTGACAAAATCTGGTATTCGATTGTCTAGGCATCCCTATCATAACTTAAACTTCTGCAATCAACATTCGTTAATTGCTTTCCTCCAACAGGTCTGATTTCGTTCATATTTTTCAGGAGCAAATATACAAATATAGGTTTTAACTTCCAAAATTTTCAGTTATATCGAGATTTTCTGATGAAATTATGTGGTGGTGTTTACACATACACAGCGTTCTCAAAATATAATAATTAAATGTGAGGGGATTTTCTGGATTGTAGACAACTTCACAGACTATCTTATAACAAATCGCAGTTCTATTGATAAAATAATAGTCACGATTAAACTGACGCAGCGTCATTTAGGATCCAACTGTGAAGTTGAATCTAAATTTGTGGAAGTGGTCTTCTGAAACGTAAGTTGCCAAAAATGATCCATCTTTTTCATTGACTTATTTTGTGTTTCATGTTTAAGTTTCTTATGGGGTCAAAGCTATAAGATAGAATTTATGTGAGATCTTACGAATACCAAATATTATTGCAGGATGTCACCTAAATGAGATATATTTAAGACTGTTTCAATTGTGATTCCAAACTACTGTTACCATGGAATGGAAACAGAATACTCTGACTCAGTACCACTTGTTGGATGCATCATCAATTGGTTTTAATTTCTTTTTCAAATGGCCATTGAAAACTATATTATTTAGAAAACTCTTAAAATCTAGAGAGCATTTTTTATAAATTTTGCATACATGGAGATTTTTTGAAGATTTTCTGATAGGCTTTTTTTGAATAAATAAACTTCCATAGCGCACGAGGACTTAGAAAATCGTGGACGTTGTACAAACCGGCGAAGAACGCTAATCTAAAAATTGGATTGCGACTCGGATGAGTTGTACCGACCAAACTCTATATGGTTTTGATTTCCTGATTATAACCACGTAGGTATTTGGAACTGGCACAGAAAAAATGCATGAACTTGATGAATAAAACTTTGGGCCTAAAAATCGTAATTATTATCGAAAACTCTTATCATTAGCTTTCAAATAATACCAATATTCCACATATCAGGTAAATCTGTGTCTAACCCGAGGCTTGAACCCAGATTTTGGATTCCGTCTACCAACAAGTAAACACTTTCCCGTAATCAAGGGAAAATATCTACCTCCAAAAAAAAAATGTAAAACTTTTCGAGTTTTCACTAAAATAATAGCCAAATTTCTATTTACAAAAAAAGTTTAAAACCGATAGGTTTGCAAAAGAGATAAATCTCCTTAAAACCCAATATAGGATGTTCTCAAGATTCCAATAAGAACCTCACACATACAATAACAAGCTTGACATATGGATGCAATTGCATAACCTTCGCTAGTAGCTTTCCAAACAGAATAAAATCTAAATAAAAAATAGCCTACTGCACAGCATTTTGGGAAACACCCACACTTACCATTTTTTAAAGCAAATATAAGCCAGTCAACAATATCTTGTGTCAAACTCAAAAGAAGCGTTAATTGTAATCCTGAATTGCGTTTTATGGAAGCATAAGCTTTTTTCGGCTGCAGCAACACAGATTGACAGTTGTGATTCCCTGCCTCTCTTCACTGCTTCAAAGAACACCCATCAATGTGTTGCTGTATGTCGATACTTGTTGGTTATGGGGGAACTGAGCTGCTGGATGTTTAAGCTGCCGTACGTATGTAAAGAATTTCCAAGGGGGCGGTGTAATAATAAAACAAAAAATGAAAATCACACACAACAAACAATAAATGCTGTTAGGTATGCAATTGACATTTATTGTAATAACAGCGACGAATATGATGGCGCGGCCACTGCTGTTGTTGCTACAAATGGCAATTTGCTGTTAGTGTAATATTCTGTTGCTGATGGTGACACTAGCACTACTAGGGTGAATTGTTGATGATGCTTTGTTGTTGCTTGCAATTTTCCTTTTTGATCTAGTTTTTTTATTCCTTTTCTTTTTTTTTTTTTGTTGTTGTCAACTTTTTACGATTCTTCTTATGTTATCTTCATTAAGTTTGGCTTGTGGCTTGATATTTTTTATTAGGAGTTTCTTGCTCAGTTAATTTGCATAAAATTTTGCATTTGTTTTCACTTTAGAAATTATAATTTCGTCTTATAAATATGCAAATAATATCTAGAAGGCAAAGAAACAACAATATGCATAATTTTTATGAATAAAAAAAATTACAATTAAACATTTTTTTACAATTAAACAATTTTCACAAATTTCCAATTTGTTAGGAAGAATGTAACAAAACATTAAACTCAGAGCCAGTCAGTCAACAGCCTCTCTGTCAAAAACAAAAAAACACTGAATCTGTGTGAGAGAGGGAGACTGAATGGCAAATTGAACAAAACCATTGAGAGGGAGAGTGGAGAGCAAAATTTGTTTACCGCAATAACTTGTGACGGCCATGTTCTTTTAAGAATACAATTTTCAAGTTGAAGCAGCGAAAAACAATAAATAACAAACGACCAAAGAACAATAACTACAAAGCCTTAATGACGACAGATACGATGGTGGCGGCGACAACGCCGAAGAATCATCAACTTTTCTGTTTTATTATTGTTTTTTTTTTTTTGCTATTTAATGTGAAAAGGAAACGTAACAAAAACGGAAATTAACGATGTCTTCAATCGGTCGGTCGGCTGAACGCGTAAATGGCGACCATAATCAAAAAGAAAACACGAACGAAGCAGGCATAAAGAGGAAATATACAATAAACGAACGTAACCAAAGAAACTCTGTAAATATGAAATGCACAAAACACGCTCACAAATATAACACGGCACGGACGACTTGAAGAAAATCCGATAAATGATAAAGCGAAAAATAATAATACAAAATGCTTAGGCAAGACGTTGACGACGACGCTAATGCCAAACACTTGCAAATTGCAATAGAAAACATATGAAAATTCACATGAAAGTTAACTTTTTTTTAGTTAAAACAAAATTTTCATTTCTTTGCTGTTTACTCCAATCAGTTAGCCAGCGAGCCATTAACACAAATTGCAAACGAACGAAAACCGACACAATATATATAAAAAAAACGAAAATAATTTTTGCAATTTGCAAATTTTTTCCATTTAAATATATTCAATACTTTAAAAAAGTTTTTTTTTTTAGTTTCTACATTTTAGCCACAAGAGAAATTTACCATTCAATGGTGAAAATCAACCAAGGAAAAACAAATTAAATGAAATTTTCAACTAAAATTTTCACTTGCTTTGGAAAATATGCACGTCGTCGTGTTGTCGTTGGTTAACTCGCGTAATAAAACAAAATCTGTCAAATTGTGTGTGGAAACACAACACACAACGTAATAAAACAAAAACCGAGAAATAAGCAAGCAAACGTCGTACAACTGACACCGCCGCCGCTCTCCCTCTCTTTTTCTATGACATTAACAGAGCCATGTAAACACTCTTAAATCTACTAACATTTCTCTTGTGTCTTTGGTTTGTGTGCGGGTCTCTTTCTCTCTGTGTGTCTGCTTGGGAATTGATTATTCTCAAAAGCATTTGTTGTTTTTTTCCGTATGTGTGTTTCTTTTGCTGTTGCTTTTCTGCTGTGCCTTCAATGTAAACAACGCGGCGATTTGTAAACCCACTTTCGTCGGGGTTGGAAACAGAACTAAACTCTTCATTCGCGGTCCCTCACTAAATCACTATGGTACACACAAAAACAGCAACAACACATCGCTCGCTTGACGACGACTACGGCAATGCGCTTCGTGTTGTATTCTCTTCAGCATTGAATGACTTCGGTCCATACCATACAGCCGAGCCGAGGGCCGGCCGAGTGGTGTGTGTGCGTTTTAATTGTATTATGGCACTCTTATTCTCCTTATATTTCCAAAACAACAGCAGCAACAACAAACACATGTCCACAATGTATACAATTGCCCCAGCTGTTGAGTTAAGTAGCCATAAATGTGGCTTTTTTCCTATACTAATTCGATTAAACTCCATTGAGAAATGAGAAAAAAATGCCAACAACAAGAAAGTCAAACGATGTTATTCCTTGTTTTTCTAAGAATTTTTTAGTTGAAGGATTATTTTCTTTTGGTAAGATTTAATTAAAGGAGAGAGGAAAATAGGTGTTAAATAAAAATTAAAATATTTTCTTATTTTCAATTGATTTTTCTGTTAAAATGTTATATCCTTGCGAGTGGCCCCTCCCTCCCACCGGAGATCTACTTCTCTGTAGGGACCTTTTGTTGGCAATTAATCATTCCCTCCTTATGGCCATATAAAAACACGTTTCCTTTTTGTGTTGGTATCCTGTTTTTTTTTTGTTATTCAAGGACATCTGCCAATGCAGCCTGCCTTTATCCGTTGTTGCCGTTTCACTTTTGGTAAATTCTTTGTATCTATCTATGTATGTATGTATGTATGGATGGATGAAGTGGTGAGTGAGCTGTCATTTATTAGACCAAGTTTTTTCGTTTCATTTAGTTTGAAATTAAAATTTTATGCAATTGTTGGCCTTTGTGAGAAGACATTGGCGTAGCAATTGTTGGTTTTATTGTAATATTTTTGTTTGTCTTTTTTTCTTTTCACAACATCGTTGGCGTCTTCGCCATCATGTTTGTTTTTTTTTTTTTTTTTTTTTTTTTTTTTTGAAAAAATTCCTCTTCGGCAACATCTTCGGGTGCAGGTCGGTTGCCTTCGTGTTTGCTGCTGCTGCGACGGCTTTTGTCTCATTGTTTTTATTGCTTATTTTTTCTTTGCTCGTTGAATTTTGTTTTAACTTAAGTTGGCTTAAAACGAGGTCATTTGACATTCGTTGTCGTGGTCGTCGTCATCATCATCACCATCGACGTCGTCGTTGTCGTACTAATATAACACAAACAAATCCCTGTATGTTGCTAGCGTGGCTCTGCCACCGCTATTTCTTCTTGTTTTTATAATGGCGATGTTTGATTTTGATCACAAGGTGAAGTGAAAGAATGAAGAAGGCCCCCCATTATTTTACATTCTCTCTGTTTGCATTGCTTGTCTATTGGAAGAAAGTAATCGATTGTCAACGAACGCTCATACGTTCATATGAGTGTATGAATGTGTCAATAAAACGCGAATAGGGCAATAAAATTTCATTTAAATTGAGTGGAAATTATTTTGAGCAGAACTAATAAAAGAGAAAGTTTGTTGCAGACTCCGAAGGATGTTTCGTTTCATTTTATAGAATATCAGTAGCAAACTGTTGTAAAAACAACATTTTGGTTGCCCAAATAGATTTGTTCATCAAAATACATAGAATAATTTTAAAGTAGTTTTCTATATCTACTAAACTTAGTATTTGCATACATATCACTAAAAAGTAAACTGAGAACGGAATACGAATTCATTAGCTTCATAAGAAAAAAGCCAATGCCCAGTAGAAAGTAATTTAAGTATTCAGGAATATTTGGTGTCCAAATGCAAGGAAATTGTCAATTGAATAAAAAGATTACAAAATTCAAAAAAAAAAAAAAAAAAAAATAAATAAATAAATAAATACGAGGGAAACTCAGCATGTTATAAAAGTAGAGCTAAAAGAAGGAGACACGTATATCGGCGTTTTGAAAGTTTACTTCGCAAAGTAACCAAAATAGAGGGTACAAATTCTCCCTCTTCAACACATATTGAAATAAGTTTTCTCGGAATATTAGGTATTTATTGCCTTCGACAATATTGCAGAAAAATATACGAGGAGTTAAAAAAGTGGCTTTAATCGTCCTTTTTTTAATACGGTTAAAAACTCCCTTTAAACGGTATCGGAGCAAGTCAAAATATTCTACAAAATTATTTGCCACAAAATTTTAATATATGTCCTAGAAAACGTAAGAGTCTTAATCTTACCTAAACGCCAGGAATTTATATATATTAAAAAACTAATTTTAGGGTTAATGCCGTAAGAAAATATTTACAAAGTTTTGGGATCCATTTTTTCGGCATAAGATTTCGTTTTGGGAAAATTTGGTGAAATTAAATAAAAAAAAAGTACCAATGATTCTACATGTAATCTAAAGATTTCATAATAAAATGTTGTCTAGATTAATTCTTACTTTGACACTTTCCGCAGAATATAAATTATAAAGGGAGAAATGGATTGGATACGTTTTAAATTACCAGTAAAAAGCAAGGTCATTATTTTGACTTTTTATACCCTCAGGCATAAGGCCACAGAGGGTATATATCATTTGATACGGCCAAAACGTGCCTCATCGAAATAACGGTTTAAGACCCTAGGTCTTTTTTAGGACATTTGGAGTCGATCTAGCGATGACCGTCTGTCTGGCTGGCTGTTTGGTGCGCACGATAACTCTCGACGAGAGTATCCGATATGATCCAAACTGGGTAGTCGTAATATTGTTGTCAAACTTAGATCGAGTTCGGAGATTGGCAATATCGGCCCACTCCTTCTGGTACCTCCCGCACAAAATGTCAACATTTTTAAAGAAAATAATTTATTGCATAGAAAGAGAAAGGATAATCCGATTTCGCTCCAACTTTGCGAATTCTATTATTTTCATCAGTGCTTGATCAGGTTCGAAAATGGACAATATCGGTCCACTCCATAAGTTACCTCCCCCACAAAGGGGCAAAATTTTGAATAATTACAACTCTTATAAAATGCGATGTAAGAGTCCGATTTTCTTCAAATTTCACACATCCCAATTATTTTACTGACCCCTTCACTTCTTCTGGTACCTCACCCAAAAAGTCGAAATTTAAAAAAAATACATTTTCTGCATAGAAAGAGAAAGGATAATCCGATTTCGCTCCAACTTTGCGAATCTTAATATTTGCGTCAGCGCTAGTTCGGGAGCGAAAATGTGCAATATCGGACCACTCCATCAAGTACATCCCCCACAAAGGTTCAAAATTTTGAATAATTACAATTCTTATAAAATGTGTTGTTGGAGTCCGATTGACTTCAAATTTCACACATCCCAAAATTTATATTAACCCAAGGTCTGGTGGTAAGATGGAGTATATCGGTCCACTCCTTCTGGTAACTCCCCCAAAAAAGATCAAAATTTAAAAAAAAAAATATTTTTTTTCTGCATAGAAAGGGAAGCAATACTCAAATTTTGCTCTAACTTTGAAAATCCTAATATTTACGTCAGTTCTAGGTCAGGTGCAAAAATGTACAATATCTGTCCACTCCATCAAGTGCCTCTCCCACAAAGGGTCAAAATTTTGAATAATTATAATTTTTATAAAATATGGTGTAAGAGTCCGATTGTCTTCAAATTTCACACATTCTAATATTTTTATGAACCCAAGATCTGGTATTAAGATGGAATATATCGGTCCACTCCTTCTAGTACCTCCCCCACAAAAGGGGGAAATTAACATCCGATTCTATTTAGACTTGGTACATCTGAATATTTTTACTAACACAGGATCTGTTATAAAGACGGTAGAGATCGGACCGTTCCTTCTGGTACCTCCCCCAAAATGGGTCAAAGTTTTGAATAACCAAAACGTTTATAAAATCCGACATAAGCGCCAGGTTCTCTTTATATTTCACACATACAAATATTTTTGATAACACAAGATCTGTTGTGAAGATGGGATATATCGGTCCTCTCCTTCTGGTACACCCCACCATGAAGCTCATAAAAAGCTAAATCAACATATGATTCCATTCCAGACCTGGTACATCTTAATATTTTCACCAACGCAATATCTGTTTTGAAGATGGTAGAGATCGGTCCATTTCTTTTGCTACTTGTCCCACATAGGGTTCAAGATTTTGAAAAACAAAACGCTCAAAGAAGGCAAAATAAGCATCCAACTATATATATATAAACTAGCTGAACCCGGTGCGCTTCGCTTCCCCTTTTGATTTTATATGAATTCAAAATTTTATTTACGAATATATGTTGGTTAAAAAAAAAAACAAATTTAAAAATTAAAAAAAATCATTGCACTACTTTAATGCGTAAATAACCAAAACCATTAGAAAAGCAGTAACATGACATACATACACGAAGGGTTTGTCCTTCGGATTTATTTTTTTCATAGCAAATACCAAGCGTGCAGTAAACTGCAATCTTTTGAAGTTGAGTGGCATTTCTATAGCAATTAGTGAATTCAAGATAGCAACATACTTCGCCCTAATAAGCGTATTTCAAATCAATTGTTGTGTTGTTTTTTAGTGTTAGTTCTTATTAAAATCATATCCCAATCTGATCCGATTTAAATATAATTTTAAAAAAATTACTTTAACACCAAACTCCGGGAGCTACATCCAAATCTTAACTAATTTCCAATTAATTTGTCACTTTTATTATTGTAACCAAATTCCGCCACACATTCTGAATTTCATTGGTATCGGTCATATATATCATGTTTGGTGCATAACATGTATGAAATCGACCGAAATATATATGTTAGGTATATCCAAACCTCAACTGATTTCAATATAATTTGGCAATTTTTTCTCGTGCCAGATTTTGTCTCTCTCGCTTTGGGTGCATCAAATATGTGAAATCTGCTGAGTATATATATGGGAGCTATAATCAAATCTGAGCGTATTTGAATATAATTTGTCAAATTTATTTTTGTACCAAATTTAGCCACTCATGCCGAATTTCATTGGAATCGGAAATACGTATCGTGTTTTGTGCATCAAATATGTGAAATC